CTACTGCGGTGGTTAAGGATGCCACTCTGGCCCGGCCGGTGTGGCTCAGCGGTTGAGTGTTCGATCGATGAACGGTTCGATTCCCAGTCAGGGCTCATGCCCGGGGTCGCGGGCTCGATCCCCAGTGTGGGGCGTGCAGGAGGCCGCCGATCCATGATTCTCTGTCATCACCGATGTTTCTATCTCTCTCCCCCTCCCGCTTCCTCTCTGAAATCAATAAAAATATATTTAAAGAAGAAAAACGGTCCCTGTGGGAACCTCCCTTTTCCACTCCCTAGAAGTAAAGAGCCACTTTCTTACATGTCTTTCCAGAAACATCTGAGGCCTAAATAAACATATATTTGTTGATCCTAACACTTGTCGGGATGGGCTGCTATTCTCTTGTGCAACTTACTTGAAAAAGGGCTGAACCTACAGTTGGATGAACATTCGATGTTCTTCAGAAGTGTGATGTGTCCAACTCCCCACTTTAACTGGAGTTGAAGCTTGAAGAGCAGCAGAACAGTGAGTGTGTGTGTGTGTGGGGGGGGGGTGTGGGGGGACCAGTCCTAGCTGTCCAGAGCTTGTCAGCCACATCTGGACTCTGTCACTTACAGATGAACCATCCCTCCCGCAAAGAGAAATACTGACAACCAGGATGCGTGTGGAGGAGAGGGAGCAGAGGGCAAAGTCATTCAAAAGCACATCTTCACAGAAGGCCGGCTGGAGGGCCTGCGGGTGTTTAAGCGAAGGAGGGACAGCTCAGAGGAACGAGATAGCTGGGGAGGAAAAACAGCCATTCAGCTGACTTCGAGGAAGAGTGTGTAAGCAGGGCTCTCGCAGTTAAAAATGTTTCCTAAGAGAGGGATCTTCTTTGACTAAATAAGGACTTTTGTGGAGCCACATGAGATAACGCGGTGTGAGAACTTTTTAGTTTTATTATTATTATTGTTATTTTAAAATACCCTGAGTGGCCAGATGATGATGACCACCCCATCAGTACAATGAAGTGAATTAGTTATTATGCAAATAAAAATAATAATAAAATCTTGAGAGTATTTGCTTAGGAAGTTTTCAGTATTCAGTATTTTTGGAAGTGTCGATGAAGTACTGATGGGGTGGTCATCATAATCTGGCCACTCAGGGTATATTTTCATTGATTTCAGAGAGGAAAGGAGAGAGAGAGAGAAACATCAATGATACAAGAGAATCATTGATTGGCTGCCTCCTGCACACCCCCTACTGGGGATCAAGCCCGCAACCTGGGCGTGTGCCCTTGACCGGAATCAAACCCAGGACCCCTCCGTCTCCAGGACCCCTCTATCCACTGAGCCACACCAGCGAGGGCTGTGCGAGGGCTGTGCGAGGGCTTTTTCAATTAGGAGGCCACCCCACCACGAAGGAGAATTATTCCTAAAATTCAGAAAGGTTTGACATCTCAATGATGTGACCCCCACATCTTTTCAGACGTTTAAGGAGAGGCTGGGACCGCATTAACAAAAATAATTACCATGTTCTTAAGAGGATTTCATTCATTACCTCAGAGTCACTCATGTAGATCTTTGAACCTGGCTCACTGCCTGGCGGTGAAGCAGATTAAAGGGGAAGGGAAAGAAAGGAGGGCGGGGAGGAGATATGAATTAGCGATAACAACCCAAGCATTTCTCCCTCCTCCTCATGCTTTTTTCCCTCCCACCAGCTTGCCCATCCATGTCAGTCTCCTCTTGCCTGGTTTCCACAAACTCTTCTCCACGTCTCTACCCCGAGTCCCACCTCCTCTCCCGCCAGCTGTGCTCCTGCTGAGACCCCCGAGGGCATTGTCCAGTGAGGCCCAGCCTCCTCTGCGAAGTGCTGCCTCTTGCTCTTAAGGAAACAGCTTGTGGCAGATTCTTCCTACATGTTATCTTTCTTTTCTTTCTTTCTTCCTTCCTTCCTTTCTTTCTTTTTTTTTTCAGAGAGGAAGGGAGAGGGATAGAGAGTTAGAAACATCGATGAGAGAGAAACATCGATCAGCTGCCTCCTGCACACCGCCCACTGGGGATGTGCCCACAACCAAGGTACATGCCCTTGACCGGAATCGAACCCGGGACCCTTGAGTCCGCAGGCCGACGCTCTATCCACTGAGCCAAACCGGTTAGGGCCTACATGTTTTCATTTACTTACTGCATTTTCTAGATCTCTGAACTCTCTTTTGCCTTTTTTGGTGGTTTTTTTTTTTTTTTTTGCTTCAAAGGGCTCATGAGTGAGTGTCCCTAATCCTGGTGGAGGGCTCTCCCCCCTGTGATCATTTCTATTTCACATGTTTCGACCATCACCTCTACCTGCAGGCTCTGGTCGGGCCTTTACAAAACCAGTTGCCCGATCCCGCCCCCAGCACCTCCTCAGGAAGCATTCAAGGCCGGTGTCAAGGTCCCAGGGCCGAGGAGCTGAGCAAACTGGGCAAATCAACCAGCTTTTAAAAAATATGTTTTTATTGATTCCAGAGAGAGGAAGGGAAAGGATGAGAGAGAGAGAGAAACATCAATGATGGGAGAGAATCACGGATCGGCCGCCTCCTGCACGCCCCACACTGGGGATGGAGCCCGCAACCCGGGCAGGTGCCCTGATGGGGAATTGAACCGTGGCCTCCTGCTTCATAGGTCGACGCTCTACCACTGAGCCTCGCCAGCCGGGCACACGTATGCGCTTTAACATGATATCGCTGCCCTGATACTTTGAAATGATGTCTTTTCTCCTGGCACCATGGATAACCACGCCTCCTGTCACCCAGCTTCTGCGGATCTTCAGGACAGACAGCAAGGTGACTCAGGGGATGAAAGGAATTCATGCCAGGGTGTGAACCAAAGATCAAATGCTTCCTTACTCCCACACCAGCGAAGGTGTCACTCTTGTCACTCTGCCGAAGAAGACACCCGCCGTTTAAGTAGGCGGATAAATAAATGCCTGAAATCCGGAAATGTGACTAGGAGATTAGTGGAAGGCGAGGCTGGTGATGAGGTGGAGGAATCTGGGCGGTAGGTGGGGCTGGAAACCTCCCAGTGCTCTCAACTCACACGGCCTGAGCTGGGGCTTCTCATGGCCCATCTCACTCTGGGGCAAGGGGCCAGCGGAGACATCTGCCCACGTGAAAAACAAGGGTTCCGCCCCACCAGCATGGCTCAGTGATTGAGCGTCCACCTAGGAACCAGGAGGTCAGGGTTCGATTCCCGGTCAGGGCACATGCCCGGGTTGCGGGCTCCATCCCCAGTGTGGGGCGTGCAGGAGGCAGTCGATCCGTGATTCTCTCTCATCATGGATGTTACTCTCTCTCTCCTTCTCCCTTCCTCTTGGAAATCAATAAAAATATATTTAAAAAAACACACACAAGGGTTCTGGGGCTGGACTCTGTGGAGAGGGTGTCTAGGTTAAAGGGGGAAAGCTCCCCAAAATGCAGGGCTTTTTTGCCTGGGCTGTCTGAAGTGCTCAGAACTTAGCCATTTACGAGCCCGTTGAGTGTATTTGGAACAATGGAATTGTTTAATAATGAAAACAAATAATCAGTGGACATTAAAGTTATCTACTCTGTGTACGGCATGGGTATCCGATCTGCAGTGGGGCTGTGTGTGCCAATGGGTCCTTATTTCCTGACCTCTCTGTCTCTCTCTGGCTGTAACTGTTATTTATTTTTGTTAATTCTCACCCGAGGATATTTTCCCATTGATTTTTAGAGAGAGTGGAAGTGAGGGGGGGGGGGGACAGAGAGAGAGAGAGAAACATCAATGCCAGAGAGGCACACTCATTGGCTGCTTCCCGCACTGCCCCAACCAGGGCTGGAGATGGAGCCAGCAAGCGCGTTACATGCCCTTGACGGGGATTGAACCCGGGACCCTTCAGTCGGCAGGCCGATGCTCTATCCACTGAGCCAAACCGGCCAGGGCTATGAGGGTTACTTTTGCTTCAGAGATGATGGATATTTTGGGAGAGTTAATCCTTTTCTCTACTTTCCTGACATTTCTCTGTGGAATGGCTGGTGCGTTCAGGGCCAGGCTGACAGACATGCTTGGTTGCTGTTGTTGTTTCTGTATTATTTTCACTTTTATTGTTGGCATGATTGGGGGAGTCTAGTCCCAGGTGCATGCATTCATGGAAGGAATCATTTCATGGTTCAAAAAGGAGAGCTAAATAACTGGGTTTTGGTTTTCCTTTTTAAATATACTTTTTATTGTTGATAGTCAAACCGGGAATCAAACCACGGCCTCTTGGTTCATAGGTCGACGCTCACCACTGAGCCACACCGCCCGGGCGCAAGTATGCGCTTTGATGCCCAAAGTGGCCCTGGCGCTCATGGCCGCTGGGCCCGGAGTCTGCACGTGCCTCTTACTCACAAGGCCCCAGCGCCCAAGTGGACGAGGGACGAGGGACGGGCCGGGGTCTGGCTGTCCCAGACCTGGGTCAGCCTGGACCGGCTGGGTGGGTCCTGGCCTCGGGGACGGCGACCACGGCCCCACTTTCTCTCCGATCTCCTGCTCGCGGAGCGGGAGCCTCTGGACACCGCCCCCTGCCCCAGCCGGCCTCCCCCGGCGCACTGAAGTGGGGGCCCCCTCGGTCACTGGTCACTATGAGCAGCTTCGGGGGCTGCTCGGGGAGCCCACCCGGCCGGGAGTGGGGCAGCCGGGGCAGGGCTCGGTCCCGCGAGGTCGTGGGCAGGTGAGGGGGTGCCCCCCCCGACAGGTGAGGGGGTGCCCCCCCAACCCCCCGGGGAAGCGATAGGTGAGCGAGGGCAGACGCCGAACAGGGGCGCACAGGGGCGCACAGGGGCGCAGGCGGGCACGGGCCGGGGCGGGGCCAGGGCCGGGGGCGGGGCCAGGGTAGGGGGCGGGGCTAGGAGTGAGCGGGGCACCGGGAGGAACACGGGGCTGGGCGGATCGGGGGCCGAGGGGGCGGGGCTGGAAGTCAGCGGGGCGGGGGCGGCTCCCGGGGCGCGGGACGGGGCGGGGCGCGGCGGGAAGTGGGTGGGGCGCCGCCGGGAACGGCCGGGCGGGGGATCCTGGACTCGGGCCGCGGCGCGCTGGCGGGCGCGTGGCCTGGCGCGCGATGAGCGGGGCCGGCGGGGCGCGGGAGGCGGCGGGCGCGGCGCGGGGGCTGCGCGTGGACGGGCTGCCCCCGCTGCCCAAGAGCCTGAGCGGGCTGCTGCACTCGGCGGCGGGCGGCGCGGCGGGCGGCTGGCGGCACCTGGAGCGGCTGTACGCGCAGAAGTCGCGCATCCAGGACGAGCTGAGCCGCGGCGGCGCGGGCGGCGGCGGGGCCCGGAGCGCGGCGCTGCCCCCCAAGCCGCCCAACCTGGACGCCGCGCTCGCCCTGCTGCGCAAGGAGATGGTAAGGGGGGCCCCGCGGGCGGCGGGGAGGGAGGCGAGGTCGCGGCACCCGCGCGCTCCGCTCCGGAAGTCCCCGCGCCCACCCGCCCCTCTCTGGATGGGTGGCCCCCGGAGCCGGCCCGGGCAGACGGGCACTGTCCTCTCCACTGCCCCCTTTTCCCTTTTTCTTGCTCGAATGTGTTTTTATTGATATTTTAGAGAGGAAGGGAGAGAGAGAGAAACGTCACGAGAGAGCTGCCTCCTGCAAGTCCCCGACTCCCGGGCATGTGCCCCGACCGGGAATCGAACCGACGGCCTCTTGGTTCCTGGGTCGACGCCCAGCGCCTGAGCTCACCGGCCGGGCTCCCCTACCTCTTCGACTTGCCCTCTGTGTGCTCACGATTTGGCCCACCGCCCTGTTTTGGGGGGGTCCCCCCTTTCCAGGGGCCGCTTTCAGAGACCCGCAGCCCGCCCCAGTCCCGCGGGCTCGGAAACTCTAGCGACTTCCCGAGTCGGGGTCGGCTCCCTGCGCGCCCGGGGAAGGGGGGTGCAGAGCCGTGTGCGATGGCGTTTTCCTGCCCCGAGGAGGGCAGCTTTGTCCGAGCGAGTGTAGACCGCGGATTGGAGCAGCCCGGGCCCCCTCCCCCGCTCCCCAGGCGGCGCGTGCAGAGTCCGATTACGGCGGGGGGAGGGGGTGGGGGGCGGCCGCAGATGGTGGTGGAGGCCAGGCGCCCCCAACCCGCGCCCGGCCGGGCAGCTGCGCCCTCGGGTCTGGGGGAAGCGCGCGGGCCTGCGGGTGGTGTCTGGGCTCCGGACAATGGGGCTTCGTTTTGCTCAGCCCTGGGGGAGCGCATGAGGTGTCTGTGGAGCAGGACGCACGGTTTAGGTGACGCCAAAAGCAGGACAAGGGCAGGGATTTAGGTGTCGGCGAGCCTTTCTCCAGCGTCGGCCAGGCCAGGCGAGGACGGAAACCCGCCTCCTTTCCAACCCTCTCGCTGGCCACGATCCCCTTCCCCGCCGCCCCTGTGTTTAGAACCTGCAGGCCCCTTCCCTCTCCTCGCCCAGGTAGGTACTTAATGTAGGAAATCAAATATATCCGAAGGCTGCTTCTCTCTGTCCCAAGAATAATACATTTCCCAAAACATTTATCACAAGAATCCTTTAACTCTTCATCTGGAGATTGTTGACCGGAAACCCAAGGGATGCATCCTTTTTCTTAAAGGAGCGCATCTGGTCTCAGAACCGAGACTTCATTAAATCTAGACGACCAAGCAGCCTCCACACTTTTTCATCCATTAGGGACTGCCTTCTCCCCCCGCGCCTGGGCATGGACGCATTTCCAAGCCGCTCTGAGAAGGTTCTCAAAGCTGCTTACAGAATGACTTCAATTCCCAGCAGTTTCTATGGATGGATCCACGTTCATAGAAACCAGTGCTGGGTTTGAATTCGATAGTAAACCTCTGCCTGCTGTGTGCAGAGTCTGAACTTAGGCGGAGGGTACATGTGGGGGTGAGATAGGAAGGCCCCCCTCCCCCCTCCCCTCTGCGGGATCAGAGACAGGAAGCCCTCGGGGCCACTCCTGTTTGTCTGCTCCCTGCTTTGTAAACATGCTCTGAAGTCTGATTGTGGCGGCTGGGGAGTCAGAGAGCCCTGCTGGGAAGTCATTTTCCAGGTTCCCTGGGGGGTGGGGTGGGGGGGGGATCAGGATCCAGTACAGCCCAACCTTGTCACTGTGCCTCAGGCCAGGGCCCTCTCTAAGTCTCTTTGAAGCACAAAGAAAATAAACTGCGCTGTAGGCCTGTCTGCCTGTCTGATATTTGGCTGAGATGGTAGGTCTATCTGTCTGATGGTTGGCTGAGATAAAGAGAAGAGGGGGCTTTAGAAACAGGCCTCCAGGTCTTTGAAAGTCCCCGTGGTGTTTTGGCTTTTTTTTTTTTTAAGAGATTTGCTAACTTGGGGCTGAGGGTGGCTGAGCAGTCACCTCAGGCCTAAGCTCCCTTTGCAGGAGGGGAGAGGCTTTCGAGATAAGAACGGAATTATTTGCAGAATAGTGTGTTGATCTATTTCATCTGAGGGCCTGAGGTCCCATCTGTGTCAAGGGATGCAGCTAGAATTCATGGCAGAATGTGATGAGTCCCCCCCCCCCTTTTTTTTTAGCCCCGGCCGGATTGCTCAGTGGGTGGCGCGTCGGCCCTCAGAGCGAAGGGTCCCAGATTCGATTCCGGTCAAGGGCGCGTACTTGGGTGGCAGGCTCCATCCATCCCTGGCCCTGGTCAGGGCGTGTGCGGGAAGCCACCAGTGGATGTTTCTCTCTCTGTCTCTCCCCCTCCCTTCCACTCTCTCTAAAAATCCATGGAGAAATGTCCTCTGGCGACAGGGTTTTCACGTGGGAAAGGCCATGGCAGCGAGCAGGAACGGATTGTTCCTCCCCCCACCCCCCTCCCCACCCCGGGAACAGCATGGGGAGCCCCAGAGGTGCTGGGACCTGGGCCAAGGTTGGCTCAGCCTCACATAGCCCGGGAGGTGTTGAAGCAGGAGATGGCACGGAGTTGGGGTTTGACGGCAGGAGTAGGAGGGAGCGCGAGATGCCGCAGGTGTGCACGGAGGAGGTGAGAGCCTCCAGCCGGTGGGGGACCCGCGAACATGGGACAAGAACCTGACGGGAGACCCTTCGCTGAAGCGGACTCTGCAGGCATGGCTGATTCAATATTCAGAGTCGGGGAAGGTGATGAAAAGGAGTCAGAGGTGACGTCGGCTTTTTATGGAAAGTGCAGCGAAGCAAAGCAGTTCAAGGCTGCTCACCGTCCTAGCGCCTAGAGAGGATCCTGTCAGTATTTTGGGGTGCCTCCTGGCTAAGCACAATGTCCGTGCTGTCTGGGCCTCATCTGGTAACTTCTCCAGGTGATAGACACTCAAAGTCTATTTTATAGTTGTTTTTTTTAATGTCTTTTATGTTGTTTTTTTTTTTTATTGATTTCAGAGAGGAGAGGAGAGGGAGAGAGAGAGAGAGAAACATTAATGACGAGGGAGAATCGTTGATGGGCTGCCTCCTGCACAGCCCCTACTGGGCATCGAGCCCACAACCTGGGCATGTGCCCTTGACTGGAATCGAACCTGGGACCCTTCAGTCCGTAGGCCAACACTCTATCCACTGAGCTAAACCTGCTAGGGCTATCGTTGTTTTTTTAATATATGTTTTTATTGATTTCAGTGAGGGTGAGAGAGACAGAAACATCAATGAAGAGGGAGAATCCTGGATCGGCTGCCTCCTGCACGCCCCACACTGGGGATCAAGCCTGCAACCCGGGCCTGTGCCGGGACCTCCTGGTTCATAGGTTGATGCTCAACCACTGAGCCACACAGGCCAGGCTCAACTGTAGACTTTAGAGGCCCGGTGGGCAGGGATGCCCTGGGCGGGCTCGGGGAGAAGGCCACAGCCTGGTGCACCTGACTCCCACCGGAAGCTTTGCCCTTTCGCTCCTGGGAGGCCCTCCTATCTCCACGGAGACTGCAGACCCCGGTGTGAAAGTGAAATTGCTCAGGGCCCCGTGCAGGAAAGCCGGCCGACAGACCACGGCCCCGTGCACAGGAAACCAGCCCCGGGCCTGGCGGCGTCAGATCCTCGCCCCGCTCGCCCCACTTCCTCCTCCGGAGCCCCGGCCTCCTAGGCACCCCATTCCTTGCCCACATGTTCCAGATGTTTCCAGGTGATAAGCAGGCCGGGCTTTCGGGTTGCTCCTTCTCTCCTGCGGCTCATTCCTTCACGGGCAGTGAACATAGATGTTTATTCTCCCCCCAAGAACCTTGGAGACGGAAAACCCCTGGTCTTCCTTGGGGTTCCACAGGCATTTTTAAGATGGGCGGCCTTTCCGGTTTTTTTAAGATATATTTTTATTGATTTCATAGAGGAAGGGAGAGAGACAAACATCCATGATCAGCTGCCTCCTGCACCCCCCTTGCTGGGGATCGAGCCCTGACCAGGAATCGAGCCCTGACCGGGAATCGAACCTGGGACCCTTCAGTCCATAGGCCAACACTCTATCCATTCCCACGGAGCCAAACCGGCGAGGGCGTCTTTTCAGTTTTTTTTTTTTTTAATATATTTTATTGATTTTTTTACAGAGAGGAAGGGAGAGGGATAGAGAGTTAGAAACATCGATCAGCTGCCTCCTGCACACTCCCCACTGGGGTTGCGCCCGCAACCAAAGTACACGCCCTTGACCGGAATCGAACCTGGGACCCTTGAGTCCGCAGGCCGACGCTCTACCCACTGAGCCAAACTGGTTAGGGCTGTCTTTTCGGTTTTTATGAATACTTTCTGTTCACTCCTTGACTGGCCCTCAGAGCTGGGCGCTGGCCTAGTTTTGCAGGCATGAGCATCCTGTCTTGAAGAATCGGCGAGGGAGGGCTGTCCCTGACTGGGGTCAGGGTGGAGAAGGGAGGGCCTCTGTTCTGTCCTCTGACCAGGGTGACTCCAGGGGAGGGGTGACCCCTGTGGACGCCAGGGCCCCAGCCCGGAGAGGCCCAGCTGCAGAAGATTGCAGAAATGCGTGTGGAGGCTAGAGACCGTGAGAAGAGGGTGTTTTATGAGGTTGTTGACTGTACTCAGAATTGGAGGTATCACAGCCACGTTCCGAAACGTTAAAGCGAAATGACAGGCTATTTGACATCCCTTATAAAAACCACAGGTTTGCAAATTAAAACAATGAGGTGTCATATAACGGGCCAGCAAGATTTAAAAGAATGAGCATGCCCGGCCGGTGTGGCTCAGTGGTTGAGCGTCGACCTATGAACCAGGAGGTCACGGTTGGTTCAATTCCCGGTCAGGGCACAGGCCCGGGTTGCGAGGGCTCGATCCCCAGTAGGGGGTGTGCAGGGGCAGCCAGTCAATGACTCTCTCTCATCATTGATGTTTCTCTCTCTCTCTCCCTCTCCCTTCCTCTCTGAAATCAATAAACATTAAAAAAAAAAGAAAAGAAAACCCAACTCAGACCTCCTTCCCTAGCCAGAGGCATTTCTGGGAGGTGCAGAGGTGGGGTGAGCTTCGGGTCTGGCTTAATCTGGGAGTGCAGGCGTGCAATCTGGTCTCTTTCCTGCCTGTGGGTGACCATTGCTCTTCACAGTCCAGTCCTCAGCTTGGCGACACTGAGGCATTGGCAGGAGGTGAAGCTGGTCACGTAGCACCAGCACATTTCGGCCCAGGGGCGGGGAAAGTCGCGCAGGAGACAGAACCACAGCCCATGGGGGAGCTGGGAGGCCTGCTTCTCCTTTTCTAAATAGTATGCAGGTCAGAGTCCTTCTGTCAACACATCTTTTATTCGGAAATCAGGTTACCATCTGTTAGGTCACCGCTTGCTTCCATTCCGGCCCTGTTGATCCTCGCGAGACAACTCCATTAGATTTGGGGCATTCACCACGTCAAGTCTAAGACGCACTCGCAAGCGTCCGTAAGTGCTGACTCACGCGTTGCATTGCAGACAGATCACGTCACGGGTCCTCCTGTTGTCAGTGAACACACATTCATAGCAGAACGTCTAGAAGTCTCAGGAAAAGCCCCCCCTAAAAGCCACCTGTGACCTCAGCTGCTTGCTCTGCCACGGCTGGCAGTGTGGTCTGTGCGGGCAGCACGGGCTGGCCAGAGGGCACTGGGTGGAGGGAGTCTTGCAGGCCTGGCCCAGCGCCCGCTCTGCCATGGCTGCAACCCCTCAGAGCTTCAGTCCCTCACCCTAACAGTCCACGCCTGCCCCCCAGAAACAAGGGCATCGATCACAAATGTGTGTACAGCCCAGATTGTCCTCTCTACAACCAGTCCCTCGAGGGGAGCTAGTGAGCTGGTTAAAAGCTGGGCAGTATTTTTAAAAATATATTGTTATGGCTTGCAGAGAGGAAGGGAGAGAGAGAGAGAGGAAGAGAGATAGAAACATCAATGATGAGAGAGAGTCACTGATGGGCTACCTCCTGCACGACCCCTGCTGGGGATGGAGCCGGAAACCCGGGCATGTGTCCTGACCGGGAATTGAACCAACCGTGACCTCCTGGTTCATAGGTCGGTGCTCAACCACTGAGCCACACTGGCCGGGCCCAACTTTTTTTTTTCAGTTTCTTTAGTAAAACAGACTTTTTCTTTTAGTACAATTTTTATTGCTAAAAATTACCCGAAAGTTTTTCGTGATACTTCATTATGAGTAAACGAAACTTTAACTTTTGAAGGTTCATCTTCTGAACCTTGTTTCTTTTTTTTTTTAAAGTATATTTTATTGATTTTTTACAGAGAGGAAGGGAGAGGGATAGAGAGTTAGAAACATCGATGAGAGAGAAACATCGATCAGCTGACTCCTGCACATCTCCCACTGGGGATGTGCCCGCAACCAAGGTACATGCCCTTGACCGGAATCGAACCCGGGACCTTTCAGTCTGCAGGCTGACACGCTATCCACTGAGCCAAACCGGTTAGGGCTGAGTCTTGTTTCTTCGTGGTAATGTTTCTGTTGTCACTTTATGAACGCTAGAAACAACTCCCTCCCCGATGACACCCTCCAAAGTCATTCAGAAGCCGGGTGCCCCGAAACGCCGCTGGGAGCCCCGCCCTGTCTGCGGCGAGTCTGTGCAGCCGGCCTATTGTGAATAGTGGAAGCCGTTCGGAGGGTCGGGCTGGGCCCCCTTGTGGATGTCGGGGCCGGTGAACACCTGTGTGTGTGGGCAGGTGCAGGGCGCTCTGTGGGAAAGACAAGGAAACGATCAGGAGGGAAGCAGGCAGCCTGGACGGAGGGAGGGAGGCATCCTGTTGGCCCTTCCCAGCACTGGGCATGAGCAGACTGTTCTTGTCTCGAAGGTCTAGATCTAGAACGAGGAGCAAATCACAGGATCTGAGAATTCTGGGTTTTTCTTCCACGAGCCTATCTGAATTTTTTCAAGGTGTGCTTTCAAAAAAAAAAACAAAACAACTTTTTTTTCTGCCCTAGGTGGGTTGGCTCAGTGGATAGAGTGTTGGTCCATGGACGGAAAGGTCCCGGGTTCGATTGCGGTCAAGGGCAAGTCCCTCTGTTGCAGGCTCCGCCCCGGCCTTGGTCCAGGCGCGTGGGGGAGGCAGCCAATCGATGTCTCTCTCACATGGATGTGTCTCTCTGTCTCTTCGCCTCCCTTCCACGCTCTCTAAAAATCAGGGGGAAAATATCCTCGGGTGAGGATTAACCAAACAAACAAACATACAAGAAAAACAAAGGAGTTATTTCCTGAATCCAGCTGTGAATTAGATCAGCCGGCCTCCAGGGACCTGTGGGACTACAGGCCCCTGTGCTGGTAGATTGGGGACAGTGGTGGGAGTTAGTGGGTGCCCCCCCCCCCCCCCACACACACTTTTTCCTGAAAGGATGAGGAATCCTTTCTCGTACAGGATGTTAGCCTGTCCTGAAGCAGGACCCCTGCAGTTTAGTGCTGGTGGGTGGTCCTCCGGTCCCCTTCCCACGGCCCCCCTCCCCCCACCCCAGTCCTGCCCCTGACCCCGCGCCCTTCAGCGTAGAGGCCGATGCTGGGCCCGCCTGCTGGAGGCTTTCCCAGCACACACGCCTCCCACCTGCACTTGGGAGGGACCTGGTTTTGTGTCATCTGCTCCCATCTGTCAAAAGGTGTTTTTTCTTTTCAGTATATTTCTATTGATTTCAGAGAGGAAGGGAGAGAGAGAAACATCAATGAGGAGAGGGAATCATGGATCGGCCGCCTCCTGCAGGCCCCACACTGGGGATGGAGCCCGCAACCCGGGTGTGTGCTCTGACTGGGAATCTAACCGTGACCTCCTGGTTCATGGGTCGACGCTCAACCACTGAGCCACGCCGGCCGGGCAGGAAGGAGGCTTTGAGACGTGTGATGGGGACAGGTGGGGGACAGTCCAGGTGTGTGTGTGTGTGGGGGGGGGTGCTCAGTCTGACCCATTGCACGAGGTGCAGTTACAGAACAACAGGTTACAGAATGCCACCTCGGGATTCCCAACTTCCCTCTGGAAAATTCACAGGCGAGTGTCTAAACACCCACAGCTGAGGCCGGCGAGTCCTGGCTGGGAGGCTAGGTTTGTCCCTGCAGCTACTCACCTCGTATCCTAGCTCTGCGGGAGGGTTTCCGGGAAATGGAAGGAAGTTTAGTGCCTGGAGAAGCAGGGACGCTGGGCTGTGTGTGGGCGTGGAGTGCATGTGTGCGTATGTGCGTGTGCGTGTGTGTGTGTGTGTGTGTGTGAGTGTTCGAGGCCCTGCTCAGTCCGCCTGAAGGCTTGGCATCTGCTGGGTTGGGTGGTAGGTGTGAGCCAGGCTAGGCCAGCGCTCCGCCTGGTGACGGGCAGCCTGTGAGTCAGCGGCGGCTGCAGGCAGCGGGGACAGGCAGGTTCTCTCTCCAGCCCGGTCAGTCTCTTCCCAGACTGGGGACACCCTGGCAATTGGCACCTAAAGGGAACAGCCTGGGGAGTCAGAGCCTCTGAAACCCGGCGAGGGCTGCAGAGCCGTGAGTCCAGGCCTGGGAAGGTGACGGTCAGCGTGGGCTGATGGCATGAACCCCCTCCCCCCCTTCTGTCTTGTCCACCGTTCATTCCTAGCCGGGAACTGTCTTGGGATCCCCCAGGTGACCTACTGGCAACCAAGTGACTCAGGAGAGAGAGCTTCCAGATGAATATTTTCTATGACTTTTAAAAAATATATATTTTTTGTTGATTTTTTTTTTTTTTTTTTTTTTTTTTTAGAGGGAGGGAGGGAGGGAGGGGGTGAAAGAGAGAGACATCAGTTGCTTCCCGAATGCATCCCAGCCATGGATCAAACATCCAACCCCAAACCTGGGTATGTGCCCTGATTGGGCATCGACGATGCTCTGGCCAATGGAGCCACACCAGCCAGGGCTTCCTGTGACTTTTTGAGCAGATATTGGTGTGACTCTGGGAGGGTGTGACTTACGTTATCAAAGTTTACGTTCTTTGTCATCAATCCTAGACAGGACAGGCTGAGTCATCGTGTTCACACCCGGACACTGGAGAGGGAGGACTCCGGGAAGCTGGAGAGAGTCCAGAGGGCAGGGCTGGACGGGGAACAGACCGGAACGCCCTCTCGAACAGCCCGAGGGCCTGAGGGTATTCGCTGGAGAGGACGGATGCTTTTTCTCAAGGGGAAGCCGGGTAGAAAATTATTTCAAATTATTTAAAAGGTGTTTAAGAAAGTAGATTTGTATGTGCAATGGTTACACCGGCGTGCTCAGTGGTTGAACATCGGTTGACCTAGGAATCAGGAGGTCATGGTTTGATTCCCGGTCAGGGCACATGCCCAGGTTGCGGGCTTGATCCCCAGTGGGGGGCGTGCAGGAGGCAGCCAATCCACGATTCTCTCTCCTCCTTGATGTTTCTCTCTCCCTCCCTCTCCCTTCCTCTCTGTGCTGTCCCAGAGACCTGACAGTGACTGTCATAGGGGCTTCTCTGACTCTGATCATAGCAAGAGGTCAGGACACACTGTCTCTGCTTCCGCATCCAGAGTGAAGCCGGCGGGGCCACCGGCCCGTGCAGTGCAGGGCGTGCCGGCTAAATTCCACAGGCGTGACCCTTCCCTGCCTCACGGAGTCAAGTGTGAGGCGTGGGCATCACACAGTTCCGGTGTCTCAACCCTGGCCGTGCCGGCGCTGCTCTGAGCCGTCGGTGCGGGAGGGAGGCGTGTGCTGGCCGAGCAGGCCCAGACGCGGGGCTGAGGTTCCCCCTGACGTGAGCCTCCAGAACTGATGTTTCCTTTCTCCCCTCCCTCCCGCCCCGTCTCCCAAGGTCGGCCTCCGACAGCTGGACATGTCCTTGCTCTGCCAGCTGTACAGCCTCTACGAGTCCATCCAGGAATACAAGGGGGCGTGCCAGGCGGCCTCCAGCCCCGACGGCACCTACGCCCTGGAGAACGGCTTCTTCGAGGAGGAGGAGGAGTTCTTCCAGGATCCTAGCTCGCTCCTTGACGGGAGGCAGCGGGGCCCGCCCAGGGACCCGAGGGACCCGGCCCTGCCCTCAGGGGCCCTCTCCGGCAGCGACTGGATTCTGGAGTCCATCTAAGACGGTCTCTGGAGGGACCCGCCCATCCTGGGCCCAGGGCCAGCATTTTGCTTCTCTGGCAAGGAGGCACCTCTGCTCCTGCCTGCGTTGCGGGTGGTCCCCAGGCACCTGGGACCAGTGGCCAGTTCCATAGGCAGGGACACCTGGTGGCCGTCGGTGTTGATGGTGGGGTTTCTGCTCAGGTGGTTAGGAGGTGCCTGGCGGCATCCTTGACACCCGGGGATGGGCCATTCCTGCCAGGACTCGGGGTGAGCATGTGACGGAGGGTCCCAGCGAAGACGCTCACGGTGTTTCCTGCGAGAGGACTCCGAGCCGGGGAGGCCTGACAGCTGGGGAATGGTCCGCGCCCTCCATCCGGGGTTTGTGGGATTCGCCGGCGAGCGATGTATCGGAACTGACACTTCACGGCGCCCTTCCTTCCTTCCCGGCCTCTTTGGCAGCCTTTTCTGCTGTTTTGGGAGCTTCTGAGCCTCTTGGCGGAGCTTTATTTCTCTGTCGGCTGTGTCACTGACCGTCCGGGTGACTCAGTGACAGCTCATTACTGACAAAGCAAGCATTGCAGGTCACACCGGCCACTGCATTCTCTTGTGGAAATTCGTCTCACTCTGTGCCCGTCAGCTAGAGGAGGAAAGAGGAGGACGGGAGGGTCTGCCGATGGGGAACTGGGCTCCTGTCTTGTGTCATGTGCTGTCGGGGGGCAGATGTTTCTGTTTGGAAAGATCCTGGATGTTCACTGGGATCTGAGAAAGCGGACCCCCCCTTCACTCAGAACAGAGATCACCTCGAGCCTTAATCTATTTATTCAAAGCCTTTATGAACACGTTACACTTTGTAGATTAAAATGATAAAATACGTTGAACTCTGTCTGTGGTTGCGTCTCATTTTGGCCTGAAATCAGAATCCACTTTCCTGGCTGGAATGCACTGAATCTAATCAGAAACGGGGAGGAAATGACAGTCTGTTTTCTTGCCACGAAGAGTTTGAAAGCAGCTCTGCTCCCCTGTCGGCTGCTTCTCGGACATGTGTCCACAGTGGATCGTTCGCAGGGAGGTCTCAGGGCTGCTCTGCCTTTTTTTTGTTCATCCTCACCCGAGGATATTTTTTCATTGTTTTTAGAGGGAGTGGAAGAGAGAGGGCAAGGCAGAGAGAAACACATCGATTGGTTGCCTCCTGCACATGCCCTGACCAGGGCCCAGGCTGGGGAGGAAGGAGCCTGCAACCGAGGTACGTGCCCTTGACCGGAATCGAACCCAGGACCTTTCAGTCTGCGGGCTGATGCTGTACCCATTGAGTCAAACCGGCTGGGGCCTATTGGGCCTTTAATACTCTACCCCCCTGCTCCTCTTCTTCCTTTTGGGGTGAAGATTGCTTTTTGGCACCTCATGGCAGAGAGGGGACGTGGAACTCCTCGGGAACGCGTGCTGGCGGCCTGTGTGTGCGGGGCCCTGCGTCGGGAACTGGGCGAGGTGCTGGGAGGAAGCGCATTTCCTGCGTTGAAAGGAGCAGCTACGTGGGGGGTGGCTTTCAGTGCGTGACATACTGTCCAGTGGGGACAAGAAATCGAAAGTGATAAGACCAGCCCTAGTCAGTTTGGCTCTGGATAGAGTGTCGGCCTGCAGACTGAAGGGTCACAGGTTCGATTCTGGTCAAGGGCATGTACCTTGGCTGCAGGCTGGATCCCTGGCCCTGGTTGGGGCACGTGCAGGAGGCAAGCCATTGATGTGTTTCTTTCACATCGATGTTTCTCTTCCCCTCCCTTCCCCTCTCTAAAAATCAGTGGAAAGATGTCTTTGGGTGAAGATTAACAAAAAAATAGAGAAGGCCACACCATCTCCAGCCTGCCTGGACCTACTGAATTGGGCCTATTTTTTAAAAAAATATTTTTATTGATTTCAGAAATGAAGGGAGAGGGAGAGAGAGAAACGTCAGTGATGAGATGAGATGGGCTGCCTCCTGCACGCCCCACACTGGGGATGGAGCCCACAACCCAGGCATGTGCCCTGACCGGGAATCGAACTGTGACCTCCTGGTTCATAGGTTGAAGCTCAACCACTGAGCCACACCGGCCAGGCCCCTACTTATTTAATTCCTCTTTTTCTTTATTCTTGTGTTTTACACACAGTAAGTTATCCCCTTTCTTAACAAGGTAAAATAGGAATCCCCCACTAGACGAGGTGTGCAGACCAACATAGTTCCAGGGGTCGGTCCCCCATTAGACCAGGCGTAGAGGCCAAGGTTTTAGTCCCAACGGTGCCACTATATACTTGCGTGACCGTGAGTAAATCCCTTAAGCATCCTAAGCTTTAGTTTCTTCATATAAGACTGTGATTTAAAAACTACTTTTTAGCTCAGTGGTTGAATGTCAACCTCTGAACCAGGAGGTCACAGTTCGATTCCCGGTCAGGGCACATGCCCGGGGTCGCGGGCTTAATCCCCAGAGTGGGGCGTGCAGGAGGCAGCCGATCCAGGATTCTCTCTCATCACTGACGTTTCTCTCTCTCTCCCTTTCCCTTCCTCTCTGAAATCAATAAAAACGTATTTTAAAAATAAATAAAAAACACTTTTAAAATGTTTTCATCTTTTTTTGTCTTGTAAATATCTAAAAATATTCTCTTTGGCTCCTATGTACCCCATGACGTTTTCCTCCAAATTTAGCTCAAAGGGCTTCAGGCAGGGATAGAAAACCTTTGAACAAAAGACCCGTTGTCCGTTTCTCATGGGGCTCATTCACGTCTCACATAGGGTCCTCACACTGAGCGCTGCTGGCTCTTGGCTATGTCGGGAACTCAGCAGCCACCAGGGGGCGCTGACAGTGTAGCCACCGTCTGACCCAGGGGTGGGCAAACTTGTGACTCGAGGGCCACAATGGGTTCTTAAACTGGACCGGAGGGCCGGTACAAAAGCATGGATGGAGTGTTTGTGTGAACTAATATAAATTCAAAGTAAACATCATTACATAAAAGGGTACGGTCTTTCTTTTTTTTTTAGTTTTATTCATTTCAAACGGGCGGGATCTGGCCCGCGGGCCGTAGTTTGCTCACGGCTGGCTGCCCCATGACTGTGACGGCCGAATGCACGTGCTCTTCAGTATATGGGATATCTAAGAGGATTTAGCTTGGCTGGTGTGGCTCAGTGCCCACCCATGAATCAGGAGATCACAGTTCCATTCCCAATCAGGCACATGGGTAGTGGGCTTGATCCCCAGTGTGGGGCGTGCAGGAGGCAGCTGATCAGTGATTCTCTCTCATCATTGATGTTTCTCTCTCTCACTCTCCCTTCCTCTCTCTGAAATCAATAAAAACCTACTTAAAAAAAAATAAATACAAGGGATTGGTTTCATTTTTATAGCTTCAAGTGGTTTTCCATAGAAATGCCTTGTTTGTTGTCAGTAGGCCACATCCCAATTTGGGGGGGAGGGAGGCTTGGAAAACAGACATTGTTCTAAGTACAAGCACCGCCACCAAGTGGCTGCTCGGGGATGCTGCCCCAGTGTTTTGTTTTATTCTCACTTGGGATTCTTCTCTTCAACTGTTGGTTTCGTTGTCCTCGGGGTCAATGACAACTCCTGGAGGGAGCCCTTCACAGTCTGACCTTCACACGAGTTCCTGGAACCACTGAAAACACGACCCGGTGCCGCCCTGCCTGCCGTGCTGTGTCCGCAGCTCCGTGCACGCGTCCCCCACTCCGCCCTCAGGAGTCAGGGTGCACTGCTCCTCTCCCGGGGATACGGGAGGTTCCTGCCGTCCCCGCTCCTCTCGGAAGACCTTCATACGGGTTTACTCTAGGACCCTTACATACCCTTCACAGCACCCATCACACTGGGCTGCAATGAGCTACCCTCCTCTCTAAACCCGTCACTGCACACAGGGCCAGGCCTTCCTCGCCCCTGTATCCCAGGGTCTGACACACTTACAGTGGGTGCTCAGTAGTATCTGTTTAATGAGTAACTAATGAGTGAAAGAACAAATGAGTGAGACAGGAAGAGAGAAAAGGGGAGAGGTAACACTTATTTAGTAACAGCTTCACTGAGGTATGATCCACTCCTGTAAAGTGTACAGTTCAGCTGTTTTTAGTTATTTATTTCTGGGTCAGTTACTTTGCAAGGTAACTTACAGGGAGGGAAAGATACTGAATTGGAGATTGACGAAAGCTTAGTTTTTTCTGACTTTATTAAGAGAAAAGTTATAAGAATACAGAGTATTATTTTAAATATGTTATTTAAAGTCAGTAGCATACATTTAAATGAAAAGATACAAGCATGCAGATGGGAATGAGACAGATGTTTATGAATCTGAATGCATGTTCCTCTCTTCATTTAAATGCTTACCTGCAGGGTCTACAACGTGTCAGTCTTCGCTGGTGCCCCAGTCCTGCAGCAATTCCTTGTGTGTGTGTGAGGTTCCTGTGCGTGTCTGTGACTGTGCATGTGGTTTTGTTGTCTCCTGTAGGTGGGGTGAGGGCTGAGGGGTGGCAGGGTTGGGGTTTCGAATGCCATGACCATCGCTTTCTTTCCCGGCAGTCTATCTAAATCTTGGGTTCACTTTACTCCACAGGAATGAGGAGTTCGGCTATATTTATGTCTTCTCTTAAGCTGGCCATGCCACAAGTAGTAAAGAACAAAACTGTGGATATAAAAGAAGTATTTGGAACAGCATGTTCTGCTGTAACCATATCAACAAACACTTATTAGGGCAGGCCCTGTTCTATGGGAGGCAGAGTAACCCGGGCCTGGACTCTCTGGGCACTGAACTTGACCCGGTTTGAGGGAGTCAGGCACAAACACGGGGAATTGTAATGTAAGACATGAACAGGGATAGGACACGAGCTAATGTAATGGAGGATAGAGGGCTGTCAAAGACAGGTGACCTTATTTTTCTCACCGGAAGTCACAGTGGGGGCACCGTGTCTACCATGGGAGCAGCCCCACAAGATCCGGGACACAGGGCTGCTGCCCTGCTGGGCCCTGGGCCCTGGGGGTGGGAGGGAGGGAGCAGATGGTTGGAAAGGGTGGGGGAAGGTGGCGCTGGGACCGACTGACTTCTGAGTCTGAGGTCCTGGCAGGAGTCAGTGGGACCGCGGAGTCAGGGAAATTGTGAGGCCAGGGCTCCGGATGCAGAGGTCACTGAAGATGACAGCAGTGAAGGGCCCTGTGAGGCCCGCCCTCACGTCCGGAGGCAACCAGGTGTGTGTGTGTGGGGGGGGTCCCCCGTAAGGGCCTCCTTAGTCACGGTGACATCTGTCTGCCTGGCGAGGGACGCCTGTGTGAGCGCTGTACCTCCTCAGAAGTCCTGCGACTTGTAGCCGGCGCAGTCGCTTCCGACGTCCCACTCCATCCTCCGGAAGAAGTGGACCATGGCGCTCTCCGCCAGCAGCCCGCACACGATGGCCGAGAAGGACAGCTTGCGGCGGGTGTTGAGCGTCACTGCGGAAGCAAAGGCACGGGACCCGGGTAAGTTTCAGAGGGAATGACGTGACACTGTCATTATTACGTGGGACGTAGATGACGGGGTGTGAAGGGGATCGTTTGGTGAGGCTGTTTTTAGAAAAACTCTTATTTGTTCTTACTAACTTATGCTGCTACCTGCTCCCCCTTTCCCAGCTGCAAACCTTTTGAGAGAACCAAAGCAGCGGCTCATAACAAAAATACTCCTGAAGTCAAGACACAGGTTCCCATTAATATTAAAAGGGAAAAGAAAATACAGATTCTAAGGTCATCAAGGAAATAGCAGAAAAAATGGGTACTTTTGGCTTTACAGGTGACAAGACGATAAGCATTATGATAAAAAAGTGCTCATTTAAAAGAGCACTTCTCACAAGACACACAGAGTGGCTTCTCTGTCCCTTTGGTGGGGCAGGAATTGTC